AAGACAGAAATTGTAATTTCGGTAAAAGTTTCTCTCTCTGGGCCTCAGGACCGATGACTAAAAATTCAGTTTTGTCCTGGTTGAGCTGGAGAAAGTTCTCTGCCATCCAGGATATATCTAAAATGCAGTTAAAAAGTGCATCTATTGGCCGAGAATCATCAGGAGACACGAAGATGTACAACTGTGTATCATCAGCATAACTGTGAAAATTGACTCCATGTCTCCTAATGACACTGCCAAGAGGGAGCATATAAAGGTTAAAAAGCACTGGGCCTAAGATTGAACCCTGGGGCACACCACATGTAATCCCATGGACCCTCGAGGAATGGGTATCTTTGGTTTGATGTCAGATTTGTTTTTACAAACGACTCAGTTTCAAATACTTCAGTCTTGTCTTTGTTTAGCTGGAATAAATTTGACTGCATCCTGTCATTAACTTGCTCCAAACTCTGACAGAGTGAGTCTAGGGGACCAGATTCATTAGGGGATAGAGCTAGGTAGATCTGGGTGTCATCTGCATAACTATGCTAGGTAATTTTGTTATTGTGTATGATGTGACCCAGGGGGAACATGTAGGGATTAAAGTGTAGCATTCCAAGATTTGAGCCTTGGGGTACCCCAGATGTCATGGTGATCAGCTTTGATTTGAGATCACCAATAGAGACAACAGAACACCTGCACAGTGAAGCACTTCCTCTAAAGACCAACTACACAAACATTTTCAACCCACCGTCCCCAACTGGGCTCGTTCTGTTAAGGTGTGGTCTGATCAATCCTTAAACTATTGCTTTCGTGGGAGTTCGGCTCTATAGGTCATGTGATCTTTCATCTAGAGCACTTGTTAAAGTGTGATGCCATCTCTCAGTCCGCTGAAACCAAATACTCTATCATTCATCCATTTTTATTTGCTTATTCATGATTGGGTCACAGGATCAGCAGCCTAAGCAATGAGTCCCAGACTCTCCTCTCACTTGGGCCAGCTCTTCCAGTGGAATCCCAAGGTGTTCCCTTGCCAGCTGAGACACGTAGTCCCTCCATCGAGTCCTGGGCTTTCCTTTAGATCTCCTCCAATTTGAAATTACGGACAACAAAAGACATTTGGATCTAGAAAACGGCGACTGGTATTTAGTGCTATCTCGTTTCCTCTGACAATGTGGGCTCCAGTATTCAGTGGATGTGGTCCAGGGATGAGAGCCGATGGGAGGGGTGAATGTTCCATGACTGCGTTTGTGGTCAAAAGCTAGCTTGCTTTGCAGATTCGTTATTGAATGTTGTTCAGTGAGTCCCCAGCTTTAGAAGATTCGCCACAAGCACTTTGAGAGACTTTGGAAACTCTGTTGGGGATGCTAAAGGTTGGTTTATGCTTGATGCGTCCGTGAGGTCCGCACGGCTCCGCGCGGAAAAAGTTGCATCATTTTGCGTCATTTTAACAACCACGCCCCTCCACCGCGCCTCCGCACGGCCCAGAATTTCCGCAACGCGCACCTCGGAAATTTTCTAACCACGCGGGCGGACGGACGGACGCGGAAAAACATGGCGGACTGGCAAGAACTAGTATGGCAGAGGTTGGTAAATACAGACATTTGTATGATTCAGCTCTCAGAGATCACCGTGATCAACATGTTGTTAATAATTCTTGGAGAGAAATAGCTCGCACTGTCGGAAAAGACGAGAACGCTGTTAAAAATGCTGGAATGCCATGTTGTAAACAGTAATTTTTACTTCTACTATGGTGTAGTGTTGGATGCATGCCGTAGAGCTCCATGCTGCCCCCTACAGTTTGGGAGAATATTGGCTCACCGCACAGACAAGCCGCACGAACCATAAACGCTGCGAGTTGTGAAGCGCGTTCTATCTGCGAGCCGCATCACCGTGCGGAAAGTGAATGCGTCAAGCATCAACCAAGCTTAAGCCTCCCCCAACAGTCACAGCTCAGTGAGACGCTGATCAGTAAAGAGAAACCAAGCCTCACAACTCTCAGACCTATTACATCAATAATCAGAACATCTTCCTCATCCATCAATCTTTTTAGACTGATTATAATATCAAGATATTTACCTTCATGTCAAACACAGTGGATGTCTTTCCTTTTTGACATGAAAAATTTACTAATAAAAAGATGATGCCATGAGCTGCATGGACGCAGGTTTCAGAGTCCTAAATATTTGATTCTGGCCAATCTGTTTTAGAGAGAGACTGGCCTGATGAAACAACTGGCCAACAAACCGAGGATGGTTAATTAAATCAAAAATATTAGAACACTGTTAAAAGAGATCAGTTTGTTGATATTTTAAACTATATTTCAGTCACTTATTTAGTATACAACAGAAGAGAGTTTTGATACATGTAAGAGAAATCCTTTAAACAAGATCACAGACTCTTCTTTTCTGATTCATAACTAATTTAGTGTAGCCTCTGCAGAAAAGGGTAACGCTTTTGTGGGCTGATGAATAAAAAAATACTCCCTAACTCAATAAGATGGGGGTGTCTGTCTGTGCAAAAGTCATGAATCAGCTCTGCTGAAGTCAGTTTCTGTGGAACGTTTATGACAGACTAAAATCTTAGTTTGAAGAAACATATGTAGCACCTCTATCCTAACTTAAGTTGAGTTACTCACATTTACCTAGGTTCTATGGGAGTAACACTCAAAAAGGGAGCAAGTGCTAGGTTGAACAATTAACATTTATTGCTGCATGACAAAATTTTGACAGCTCTGCTGTAACTCTCAATGAAAATTAAGGCGCCACAAGAAAAATAAAAATAAAAAAAAAGAAATAAAACAAAACCAAATCAGTCCATTCGATTGAGCTCAACCCAGACCCGGCGCCAGAGGACTTCACCTGGAGGGGCAGTGGGTTTTTCTGGGGGAGCCCAGTAAACCGTGTTTTTATCAACCCCTTTGCATGTTTATAATCTGTCTGGTGGACGTTACATACATATACTTCCGGGTCAAATCGGCCGTTTTGCGTCATCAACTTGTTCTACATAAATAACTGAAAAGCTAAGATTCTTCATTGTTTAATTCCGATTATGTATGCCCATTAAAGATGCAATCAAAACTTAAGACAAAGTAAACAATTTTACTGAACCAATACTTGCAACTCACCGTTCTTAGCTGCGCCTGCGCACCACAGAGTCACCATCTCAAAACAATCCTAACGTCCAGTTAATGTTCTCCAATAAAGTACTTAGTCCACAAGTCTTCTTCCAAATCCTGCCCTGCAGCTTGATACCTTAGTAAATTCTTCTTTTTGCACGTATTTCTCATAATGTTTACATCACAAATACTAGTTAGCATCAGGTTAGCATGCTACTTCTTGGCTGTGTGCTTCTTCTTCTTGGTAAACACTGACTTGGTGCGTTACCGCTGCCAGCTGGTAAGAAGCGTAACCTAGGTCTTCTAAACAAGATTTAGAAAATCTAGAGTGTTTTCTTTCTAAAAAAGAGAACAGACAACCCTGTATTTAAGATGGTTCAAAAACAGTTTCAACTTTAATGTGCGTTTTAAATCATTTGAATCAAAAGGACAGCAGACACCCCTGAGACTGTGCTGGAGGCACGGAGAGAGGAGGAACAAAAGCGCTTATAGCTGCAACTTCTGGCTGCACTGGCCTTTTTGATGATGCATCATCCCTGCTTGAGCTAGCATTGTTTTTCTGTTTGCTAAACCCAGCTCTGATATCCATTTTAGCAAGCTACTCTATCAAAGCGTCTTCTACTGCATCTAAAACTGTCGATTAGTAACCTAGCGCGCCCTCTGTTGATCATCTTGAGCCAATACATTTGCATGAGGTGTTGTAATCTGTCCTGGGCGGGCCAGACCGGCAAATGGGCGGGCCGGGCCCGCCCAGGCCCGGCCTTGACGCCGGGCCTGGCTCAACCAGTTAATAATTCGGATTCCAAAATGTATGTGTGTGTGTGTGTGTGTGTGTGTGTGTGTGTGCCGTTCACGTTGTCCTCCAGTATTGCTACTCCTACTACCCGGGTAGGTTGCTAACGTGACTGTCTTGTGATCAGTGGATTGTTGCAATAATCCAAGGATTTCCGGGCAGGACGCGCGGCTGGCCACACCGCATCACCAACTGGCTTCAGGATCACTGGGCTGGGCTCGCCATCCAATCTTCCAAATCACAGACAGTTCTGATCATCTGGACAGAGTAAAAAAACCAACCTACACAAGAAGTGTAGGGTTGAAAGGATATCTGATTCTGTCTAATCTTATGAGAGCTCATCAATTACCTTTCTTTATCTAACAAGTAACGAAAAACAAACATTAAGGCAGTACATACAGTGGGGCAAAAAAGTATTTAATCAGCCACCGATTGTGCAAGTTCTCCCACTTAAAATGATGACAGAGGTCAGTAATTTACATCATAGGTACACTTCAACTGTGAGAGACAGAATGTGAAAAAGAATCCATGAATTCACATGGCAGGATTTTTAAAGAATTTATTTGTAAATCAGGGTGGAAATGAATTTCAGCAGTGTGTGATGATGACTAATGGGACTTAAACTGTTTCGTTTTATTAAGATAAGACATAATTCAGTTTTTAAAACTGACAACCGACACTTTAAGTTACAGTCATATTTTATGTTTCACGGGTTAAAATGGCAGGAATCCAGTTTACAAACGGCTCCACTACAACTAGCCAGTTGCACCAATGTTTGATAGCGTTAATCTCCGTTTAGCTTTTATCACGAGGTCAGCTCCAAGGGCAGAAGGGAAACCTGCACAGGAACACCAGAGATTAGCTTTTCAGTCGGTGATCTACACCGAACGTAAAATCTAACCTCCAGGACGGTAAAGGGAGACTATTAGTGCACACGCCCTGATTAATGTTCACATCTGTAAATGCTCCATTAATGCTGAATGACATAATTAGGCTCGGCAGCAACTCAAAGTGCCTCACATTCATAAAACAAAATAATAAACCAAACGCAAAAAAATAAAACCTCCAAAGGACAAACAAAATAACAGCGGTGTAAATGTGTGTTTTCAGGGAGTTTGGTCGATGGAAGGTCAACAGCCTGGCGGTCGAAAAGCGAGACAGTTTTGGTGGTAGCGGCGGCTTGGCTCTGCCTCTCGACCCAGACTTCACGCACACCATCCGCCAGCTGGGGAGGAGGCCAACCCTCCAGATGATTACAGAGAGTCTAATCAAGAAATACGGCACCCACTTCCTCCTCTCTGCCACTCTGGGAGGTACAGAGACCTGCGGAGCTTCTAAGCCAGCCCGATTCCCAGAGCTGCTAATGTGATTTTCTTCTGTTTCTCTAGCATATGGGGCACTGATTTCACCAAGCACTGCCCTCCGAGCAACACAGAGCAAGCCATTTCTGTGTTTTTTCCCTCAATGTGCTCAGTTTGGCTCACAAACACATCAAACTTTTGGTTCAGGGTTCAACAAAGTGAGGTTTCATATTTTTGTTCCAGCAAACAAGTTCATTACTGGTGTTCAGGGATTGGTTGATTTTCAAATGGCCACGTGTTGCTGGTCTCTTACTTTGATTTGTTATTATTACATAGGTCACTGAAGTGGAAGTTGTGCTTCGTCAGGCTCCTCACCGTGGCTCAATTTTGCGAGCAGTGAGGAGGGCTGCAGTGTGTGTCAAGACCCAAACACGCAAGTGCTAGCGACGGGTGACGTCTAATTAATCTAGGAACGCCGGCGCGAGTCTCGAAGGGAAACAAGGACGTGGGAATGTTCCCAAAAGTAAAAAGAACAGGCTTATTGTTAGGATGTTGAAGATGGTGCTGAGGAGGGTAGGAGCTGTGGAATCGCCTGGCGTGAGTGACGAGCCGTAGCGATGCAACGAGTTGAGCTGTGGGCGTCCGACTTGAACCGGATCGTCGTCTACGACCAGACAGCCACTGGGCGGCGTGAGCACGGACGCTCTGGGCACAGCAGCGTGATGAATTAAGCCGACGCGCTGGAAGCACAAAGATGAAGCTAAAGTAAAACACGCCACCAAAGGAGGAGCCGTGAGACCCAACATGAGCAGAAACTTCACTGGAGTTTTTGACAAGTAATTAAAAATTGCACCCACGTTTTCAGAGTTAACACACATTTCTTTTAACTAATGGTCAGCCCTCTCCCCCCTCCCCCTGCTGCAGCCGCAAACTCACTGGTGTGCCTGCAGTCTCTGAGAAGTTATGCTTGACACATTTACTTTCCGCTTGGTGATGCGGCTCGCGGATGGAACACGCTTCACAACTCGCAGCGTTTATGGTTCATGCGGCTCGTCTCTGCGGTGAGCCAATATTCTCCCAAACTGTAGGGGGCAGCATGGAGCTCTACGGCATGCATCCAACACTACACCATAGTAGAAGTAGAAATTACTGTTTACAACATGGCATTCCAGCATTTTTAACAGCGTCCTCGTCTTTTCCGACAGTGCGAGCTATTTCTCTCCAAGAATTATTAACATGTTGATCACGGTGATCTCTGAGAGCTGAATCACACAAATGTCTGTATTTACGAACCTCTGCCATACTAGTTCTTGCCGATCCGCCATGTTTTTCCTCGTCCGACCATCCGCGTGGTAAGAAATTTTCCTAGGTGCGTGGTGCGGAAGTTTTGGGCCGTGCGGAGGCGCGGTGGAGGGGCGTGGTTGTTAAAATGACGCAATTTCGGCGTGCGGAGCCGTGCGAACCTCGCGGACGCGTCAAGTATAAACCAACCTTTACACTCCTGCAAGGGACTGCAGTTTGAAGGAGATCTGAATTGTATCAAATATGTAAAAATGACATGTTTATAATTTACTGCCTTGGAAAGTTCAAAACGTGTAGTGGGATGAATCTACCAAAAATTTCCTTTCCAAACACTTTTTTTCTGTCCTGTCTGTGTTTATTGTCTTCCTGCGTCTCCTCTCAATCTTAAAGAAAAACTGCTACCTGGCTTCGTATATTTTCACCTCACGAGTTACCTTTGAACTGCAGTTCAAAAAGATCTACTGACTGCAAAAACAGCGGAGTGTGCGCCGGCCGCAACAGTGAAGTGAAGTCGCAAAACGCGTCAGGCGCAAATAAAAGACCGAAATCCTAAACGGATATGAGCCGACATAAACGACCGCGTGTTATATGTTCACTACGGCCGTGCTCAGGACGCAGCTGTCTGGAGCGCATCAACGATCACAGCTCTGCACCTCTCAGCTCAAAATGATCCCCAGAGAATCCACATAGAAAGTTGATATAAGTAGAACCAGGATGTTTTTCGGGCTGCCCCCGGGTGTGTAAGTTGAGGGCTTCCAGGGGAGCCTGTCACCCTTTCGCGTGAGCTGGGCTCCCTTTAGCTCACCCAAGTTGGTCGCTTGAGTTGCCGGAAACCTAGCAGACAGTTGCTGGAACGGTCCTTTCAAAATAAGACAGTTCTCGTTCCGGCAAGATCCAGCTCAAATTAAACGCTGACTGTGACTAATGCTGTTAAATCTGTGACTTTTTATCTCCACGTGTGTGGTCTCTTGTGTGAATAGAAAATCTCCTGAGCTATTTGAACTCTTGCCATGCGAACTGGGCCGAATGCTTCCCGGACAAGGTGGAACATTTGTAATTGATCAGTATGGTAACACAAACCCTGATATATGTCGATAAACTGTCTCCCTAGACTGTGATCTGCTACAGAAACTCACAGCCATTGACTTTAGTAAGTTTAACACATCTGCAGCTCATGCGCGGTAGTCCCAGCTGAGGGTGGATTTCAGATTGAAGTTAGCCAAAAATCTCCTGCCAAAAACAGTTTTAAGTTTGCTCATCCATCTTCTGGCTGAGAAACACGATGAGTTTCCTAATAACGTAGAACACCAGGAAGACGGTGGGCTCAGGTGGTGAGCTTCATACTCCTGAGGTGTCAGACTGAGTGCATCGCTCCAGCTCAAGGATCTGAAACCTTCATTTGAAATCATCGAGTGTTGCAGCGCTGACTTGAGACATGCGTCAGGCTTCTTTTCTTTGATTTTGTCCATCATGACTGAGACAACCACCGTAAATAGGTTAACTTAATCAGCAATCTCCAAACACCTAAATTTATTCATGAGGATTCTAATAGATGCAGAGACCTTGTTTGTGTCTTTTCCTCCAATCATCCAAACCATCAGTACCCTGACAACACTTAATCACCAGAGCACACTTCTATCTGAAAAGATCCTAATGAAAGGTGATTAGTGATGCTCCGTCTGAGCTAATGAACCTCTCTGTCTGACTGCCACCAGGGGAGGAGGCTTTGACAATATTTGTGGACAAAAGGAAGCTGAGCGTCGAGTCTCCGCCCGCAGGGGCCGAAGGCAGCCGCAGCAGCAGCAGCAGGAACTCCAGCTCCACAGGCGCTGTGACTCTGGAAGCCCTCCACCAGCTGGCTGCTTCCTACTTCACAGACAGAGACGGCACCCTGCGCCGCCTGCACCATCTCCAGATTGCATCCACCGCTATACGGGTAGGTGGAGGTGTGAGAACTCAGCTGCAGTGTGGTGGGAGATGGAGCGGCTGATGGAGCCTGAAGGCAGCTGCACCGCTCTCCTGCCTGCTGGTTTTTACCTTCCAGCTTTTCCACGCGGGAGCAGAATGATGTAAAACACCGACGCTGGGCTGGTTCGGGATTTGAACCTTCTGAAATGTATGAAGTATTAGGGATTAAATCATCAGGAAAACTGAAAATGGTTTCAGACGCGGTGCACACGTCAATAACAGCACACGTGACTGTCCTGTGAGTCAGTGAAGGCCAAACACTGTGACCTTTAACCTTAGCCACAGGGTTGTTTTTAACGAAATGAGTGAGATAGTGATGACTGTCATCTTGTCGGGGATTATTTTGTTCCTGTAAACCACTTAAATGTTTAAATTTGTTTTAAGTTTCCATAAAAGACGTAAACAAAGCAGCATGCAGCACATCGGAGCCAGTAAGGAGAAAAACATTCAGAAATGATTTTTATTTATTGTTTCCCAGTTTTAGCGGTGACATTAAAATGTTCACATAAAAAGTAAACATTTCCAGAATAAAGAGAAAAGTTGGAACATTTTTAACTGTCAAAATCTTAAGTGACGTTTCACTTGTTCCAGAATAGTAAAAATGTAAAAAAAAAACCTCTTTTATCTCCATTTTCACAATAACATCAACATTTTGCGGATAAAGTGTCATCTTCTAATTATTAATAAAAATGATGTATATTTGTAAAATAACAAAATTGTGGCCAGAGGAAATGAGGCTTTGTGCTCTTGAACATATTAGCTCTGTTTATTAGGAGGCGATAATCATAAAATTTGGGTCTAAAATACATGGGAGCAGGTCCAAATCTCTGGGTGACGCCATATTAGCTGCCATGTTTCCTTCTATGGGAGCCCGTGAGGACGAAATGCGTTTACTGATTTGTAACTATATGGTATTAAAATGTGTCTTTAAAATTCACGGACATCAAATGTGAAATCCACGTCACATAACAGGCGGAATTGGAAAATAGCGTTTTGAGCCCCATTGGCATTCTTTTCTTTTTTTGTTCTTCCGGGGACCCGTGGTCCGGAAGTAGATGGGCGTGACTTAGGCGCTCTATTGCTTATATTGATTCATTATTGTTTTGTTGTATAGATACTTTATAACACAGACACATTTGCCCCCCATTCTCATCCACCTTTTCATGTGCTCGCCACCTCTAAACCCACATTTCCCACCATTTCCATCAATGAATAAAACACTTGGTTCCAGTCACGGGTGAATAAAACATTTATATTGTCCGAGTTTTTCTGCCAGGTATTCTTCAAGCTGCTCCATGTCTGCTGCTAGATATCTTCAGATCTCTTTTTTTGAGGAGGCAAAGGTAGTGCTGTTGATTAATTTAAGGGAAGCAGCATCCTGGCCAATCACAAGCTTGCATTCTTCGTCTCATTCGACGGACGTTTAGAAAAGTGGGCTCGGCTCCATCTGTCCTTGAGAGCCTGTTGGAGAGACCTCGCAATGACGGATAATGGTCAGTGTCTGCGTACTGATGCAGACGGAGAAGCAGAAATTAGACTTTAATCTTCTTCCCTTTGGTCGTCACATGGGTTCCTGAGCGGGGCTATAAAAGCTATTATCTAATCCGCTTTGCCTTACACCCTGAAAACACATACAGTATGTTATACTTTAACTGAAAAGAACATATGTGTATTTCGACCATGTCTGTCACATATTACGAGATGTATTATTGTAAACATAAGAAATTAAAATGACTATAAATCAGAAGTGGAATATCGCATATCGTCATCACAGTAACTCTTCTCCCTCAGCATAGCTGCTACTTACCACATGGCCATATTTCTAGTGGGTTTTTTCCTTCTTTTATCCTGAAAGAAGGATTAGGAAGCTTGCTAAACTAATTTAGGGCCGCATGGTGGCGCAGTTGTTAGCACTGTTGCCTCGCAGCACGAAGGTTGCGGGTTCGAAACTCGGCTGTGGCCTTTCTGTGTGGAGTTGCGTGTTTTCCACATGCATGCGTGGGTTTCTTCCGGGTACTCCGGTTTCCGCCACATATCACAACACGCCCTATAGGTTATAAATTGGAAGTCACTTCAGATAAAAGTGTCTGCTAAATGAATATGTTTATGTATTTAGCAGACGCTTTTGTCCAAAGCGACTTACAAGTGATAATCGGCATGTTGCCCTTGAGGCTAACAACAACAACAACAACAACTTGACATCAGTCATGGAGAGGAAGGAACAAGGAGTGGACGGTAGAGAGGGGGGACGGGTGCAGGGAGGGTGCTAGTTTAGAAGATGCTCTCTGAAGAGCAGGGTCTTCAGGAGTTTCTTGAAAATGGAAAAGGAAGCCACAGTTCTGGTAGTGTTAGGAAGGTCATTCCACATTTGTGGAACGATGCATGAGAAGAGTCTGGATTGTCCTGAGCGTGGTGTAGGCACTGCTAGCCGACGATCCTGTGATGACCGGAGCGGCCGGGCCGAGACGTAAGGCTTTGCAAGAGGATTCAGGTAGATGGGAGCCGTACCGTCTCGGACTTTGTATGCTAGTGTTAGCAATTTGAATTTGATGTGTGCTGCTAGCGGTAGCCAGTGGAGCTCAATGAACAGAGGGGTGACGTGTGCTCTTTAAGGCTGGTTGAAGACCAGACGCGCCGCTGCGTTCTGGACCATTTGAAGAGGTCTCACAGTACAGCCTGGAAGACCAGTTAGAAGGGCATTGCAGTAATCGAGGTGGGAGATGACAGTAGATTGCACCAGGAGCTGGGTGGCATGTTGTGTTAGGTATGGTCTGATCTTTCGTATGTGATACAACGCAAAGCGGCATGAACGAGCAACAGAGGTAACATGATCTTTAAAGGTCAGGTGTTCATCAATCACAACACCCAGATATCGAACTGCCTTTGAAGGAGCCAGAGATAGGAAGTCATTTTGGATTGAGATATTGTGCTGTATGGATGGTTTTGCTGGGATGACAAGTAGTTCAGTTTTAGAGAGGTGGAGTTGGAGATGGTGGGATTTCATCCATTTTGATATGTCAGAGAGACAGTTTGATATTCGTGCAGAGACAGTGTGGTCGTTCGGTGGAAATGACAGATAGAGCTGGGTGTCGTCTGCATAGCAGAATAAACATAAACATAATTTTCTCCTCTTCTCCGTGTCTGGTTCAATGACATCAACTTGATGAGGTGAACATTTGTAGTCCTACACGTCTTTTCACACAAAACCTAAAATAACTTTTGCTAATGTTAAAAAAAGTTATCAAAATGTGTCTGTGAAATTCACGGACATGACATGGCACATTTCAGATGGGATCAGTAATCACTAACTTGTATCCTCTCATAGACTCTAATTCATGCTTTTGGCAGCTGGGGACCCACAACCCAAAAGTAGATTGCTGTGACTTAGGCTAGCTAACAAGCTAGCCTAAGTCACGCAAGACAGCAAACAACACACTCCTCTAATGTCGGAGAAATGTTACCGTAATAAGTGTAGTAAGTGCTCTCTACCGTAAAACACTTAAGAGAGTCCTACCAGCCATGAAGATGCATGTATCCACTTACCAACTTACTGTGTAAGACTCATCTTTGCTAGTCATGCAGGATCTTCTGCCTAGGATCCGTAACTGGCAACAGCCATGAAGTCCACGTAGCGGCAGGGAGACAGTTATATTTTTGCATTGAAATCGGACTGTAGTAGCCACATTTGACCACAGGATGTCATTCTTACAACGGCACCTTTAAATCAAGGACATTTAGACACCGGCACACCAGACATTCTTGAGTTTCTGATGTTCAGAATCAGCAGATAAGGGGTGCAAAAGATGTGCAACAACTGGAGCAAGCAGGATTATTACAGGTGAATCTGGGCTTCCGGTAAGGAGTTCAGTGAAATAGTTCTGTGTGATAATATAAAGTAAAGAGTTGCTAACCGTCTCTGCTGACATACTTAAGGGACAAAGTTTTAATTTATGACACTTTGTTAACTTTACTCGAAGACGACTTAGACTCACAAATCCTTTAATACCAGCTGGGGGACGTTCTCCCTGCAGCTTATTTAATCAGTTAGATTAAGTGCAAATGCTTATTTACAGAATTGGCCAGGCAGCTACACCTCTTGTGACTTCAGGCATGCAGCGACAGAACTGTTCTACCCTGTTAGCTTTTCTCCTGCAATTTATTCCCTCATAAACCCCAGAGTATGCAGAAAGATAAAGGGTTGATTGATTTTAATCAGAATCTTAGAGTTACAGTGACTAACCCCCTTACTGTACAGCAAATTAATAAGCTCTGACTTTTAAATAAGCAGAAAAACAATCTTAAGGATTTCTAGGCTTTGCTGCCCTGTAGCGAGCTGTAAATAGGAGAGAGGAGAACGCAGCAGCAGTTGTGCATCCTGGAGGATAAAACACCAACCATCTGTTTTATCATCTGCAGTGGCTATTAGACTGCATGCATTAATCAGCTCGAGGGGCAAATGTTGATGCTAAAGTGAGTGGCCGCTGATGAAGACAAGTGCCCCCCCCCTAAAATGAGAACGTGTTACTCTGGTTATACATCAGTATGATGGATTAAAGATCCCATTTCATTCATTTCCAGCCAGGCTGACTTTCCTTCTTTCGCCACTTTGCTGCGATTGGAGAGTTCAGGTCGATTGAAAATCAGCGAGAGTGAAAGGAGGAGAGGTAGATGAACATTTAATGAGGGATGTAAAGCAGCGCCTGCATTACGAAGACGTTCATTACAGTCAGTGGCTGCTCAGGATTCAGGGGCAAGTAGGAAGTAAGCAAAATATGCTTTTAACCCTCTGGAGGCAGGCGTTGCAGATTTGCAACGGTAAAACCTACCTACCTCGTTACTCCAGATACGTATTTCATGAGCTTTTTTTTTACTCAGAAGTTCCCTTGAAGGACTTAGTTGTTCGTCCTTTTATCAAAACTTATTTTGAGCCTGAGAGGGTTAAAAAGTGTGATATGTTTTTTTATGTGCTCCAGATTTCTAACTTTTACATCATTACATTGGGGCAGCAGTAGCTCAGGAGGAAGAGCAGGTTGCCTCCTGATTGGAGGGTCACAGGTTAAATTCCAGCTCCCCCCAGGGTTATTCTGTTGTGTCCTTGGGCAAGACACTTCACCCAACTTGTCTTTGTTGGTGGTGAACAGAGGGGCCAACGGCACCAAATGGCAGCGTAGCCTCTGTCAGACCGCCTCAAGGCGGCTGTGGCTACAAATTAGCTTGCCATCATTGGCAGTGTGTGAATGTGAGAGTGCATCAAAGCGTCTTTGTCCTAAAAAGCGCTATATAAGTTCCATGTATTGTTATTATTATTATTATTATCATCATCATCATCATCATCATCATCATCATCATCATCATCATCATCATCATCATCATCATCATCATCATCATCATTATTATTATTATTATTATTATTATTATTATCATCATCATCATCATCATCATCATCATCATCATCATTATTATTATTAGTATTAGTATTATCATTGTTATCATTATCATTATTATTATTATCATCATTATTATTATCATTATTATTATTATTATTATTATTATTATTATTATTATTATTATTATTATTATCATTATCATTATGTTATTATTATTATTATTATCATTATTATATTATCATTATTATTATCATTGTTATTATCATTATTATTATTATAATTATTTTGATTATTATTATTATCATACTTATTATTATTATCATTATTATTATTATTATTATTATTATTATTATTATTATTAATGTTGTTATTATTATTATTATTATATTATTATCATTATATCATTATTATTATTATTATTATTATTATTATTATTATTATTATTATTATTATTATTATTATTATATTTAAGACTAATTCCTGTTTAAAACAGTTTCTTCATAATCTGTTGGAACTTTGGAGAGAACTTTTTAATTCTAACCAAAAAGGCCTAAATAAAAATTCTGCCTGTGGAGGGAAACTTTTTCTTTTATTTGACTCTCAGACTCGTTGCATCGTACATTTTTGGAGGAAAAGTTCTGGTGATGGTTTTTGCGTTTCTTTCAAACTTCTTCTACAATGCAAAATAAAATAATTGTATTTGTTAGACTTTTGGAAGAGATTACCAAAGAAAACCTGACGTAGCGCCCCGGTTTCTGTGTTCTCTGTGTGTTTTCCAGGTGACTGAAACTAGAACCGGGCCCCTTGGCTGCAGCAACTACGACAATCTGGACACCGTCAGCTCTGTTCTGGTCCACAGCCCTGAAAACAAGGTTCAACTGCAAGGTAAACCAAAACTTCTGCATTAACACACCTAACTGTAGACATCCTTACATCACTGTAAATGATATTTAACGAAGATTAGAGGTGCTGTTAGGTTCTGCAGGTTAGAGCTGTTCAGTGTCACATTTCACATACATGTTGCTAGCATGTTTAACAATCTGCTCCTTAACCCTAAACCTCACCGTAAGACTGCTGGCAACTAGACATACAACACTAAAATAAATGATTATTTCTTTCATAATTTTTTCATAAGTTTCCGCTTTTTCTCTGAAATACGCTGAACTGATTAGGACACACTGAATTCACATTATTACAAGACAGCCATGTTATTAGAGGCGCAAATGAATACCGGTGTTTGAGAAAAGTGCTAAATAGCATCGATGTATCAATCCTGTCTAAGCTCCAATCAAGGCTTTTGTCATCCAACAGTGTGAGGTTGATTAGATGACACTCAGCTCCAGATCTCTATTGTTGACTCACTTTCTATGGTTGGACATCTGCTGGGCTGTAGTGCAGCACCAACTCTACCGCCAGAAGAAAGAACTGGTTTAATCAGGAGCTGAAGGCTCACGAAGACCTGGCCAAAGTGTCAGCATCACGTCTCTGACTAGTTTGACTTTAACTCTGCTCACATTTAAAATAAACAGATGAACAGAAACTCTATTTAAATTCTCCCCAACAAGAACTTTTAAGCTTTAATCTTAACAGGATTTTATTTTGACATCTTTAGAAACCAGCAGTTGGTGGGTATGTTGTCCATGTGGCATGGTTGTAGTTCACACATTCACTGTGACTGGTGTGTTTGCACGTCCAACAACATTTGCTTACTGTGGTTGTTATGGTTACAATTAAAGGGGAACTAGGCAGTTTTTGGCTTGCTTTTAGCACCTCCTAGTGTCCAGTTGTGGAACCGAAACTAAAACCTACCCCCTCACTGTGCATTTGTCTTTTAACACCTTAATCTAACAGCTGAGACATCTCCCAACCTTCCTTAGTGTCCAGAGGAGTGATTCATCACTAAATTAAACAAATCAGCTGTGTTCATGACCTGAAACATGCTGGAAGCAGACTGCAGCGCCAGGTATGTCAGCTAAGTAGTTTTCTAAGTTCTGACAGAGCGGCCCACCAGGCTGAAGTTGCAAGAGTAATATTCTAGCCACAGGGGGCGATGGGGGCTGGATGGCCTTTCATTAACCCTGTAAAGGGTCATTTTAGCACATAGTGGCTCAAGAAAATTATTTTAAAATATGAATAATTTGCAAAGTATCCCTGTAGCCAAAATTATTATCACTCTGTACTTTTGACTCTAATATTAAATTTCAGTCCTAGCGATGGGTACCGAATTCGGTACTTTTTAAGGTACCGACCGAATTCCATAGTACCGACCGAGCACCGATTCACTGCATTTGAAACGGTGCCTCGTTTCGGTATCCGTCCTTCACAACGAGAACTTGCCTAGACAGCTGCGCATGCGCAAGAGCGTTATGTCGTCGGTCGCTGCGAGCAAGTTGTAAACAGAGCAGCATGGTAGAAAGAACGCCCGCTAAAGCTTGGGTCCACTTCACTAAATGTGATGGGTAACTGGGTGATGATGAAACCAGCGACAACGATCTAAGTGAGACATCCTCATCTTAATCTGCTCCAGTAGGTAAATAAAATGTTTAAGATAACATTAGCTTGATTTGTTAGCTTCCGTTTCACTAATGGTGCGTTCGCTTTCTCCTCGGAACTCCAAAGTTCCGACTAGAAGAACATGAACGCACTCTAAAGTTCGGCTTCACTTTACTAAACGGGTGATTGGGTGAAGATGAAACCAGCGACAACGATCTAAGTGTGAGGCATTGTCGTTTTAATCTGCTCCAGCAGCTAAATAAAACTGTTTAAGATAACGTTAGCTTGTTATGTTAGCTTCCTATGCCACCATTGTTATCAGCTAATGGTGCGTTCGCTTTCTCCTCGGAAATTCTAACTTCCCAGTAGGAAAAATCAAATGAAAAAGACGGCAAAAGGAATGAAGATACACAGTAAATTTAGTTCACAGTAAAGATGTTTGCTTCAGTTTAATTATCAGCTTATAAAACTACAAGGACGACGTTAAAATACAAACAGTTGCATGTTATTTATCGTGATATTTATCAAATATGGTTATATATTGAGTAAAATATATATTTAATTATAAAAGAGAATTAAAATATTATACACTCAAAAGTATCGAAAATTGGTACCGTTAAGTACCGGTATCGATTCGTAGGTACCGGGAATTGGTACCGAATCGATTCAAATGTCAAAGGTACCCATCCCTAGTCATCACTTCAGAAAGTCATGGTCTTTTTCTCATTTCTAATTAGTCTAAAAGTATCTCACGTCTGTCTACATTTGTTCCTTTGTCTTTTATTTAATCACCTTCCTAATAACGGATTCTCTGTTTTGTCACCAAACTAGTTTCTTAGTTCATCAACGTCCCTCAAAACTGTCTCAAATCTTAGTCAGTGTCTCGCTGGGTAAAGGGGAACAGCACTCATACGTCAGAGTTGTTGGCATCTAGAAAATGCCTAAAACCAGTTTACATGAGTGAAAAGTTTGAGACAATATTGGGATGTGAACAAAATATGATCAACAAGTCAGCCAGTCGAGACATTTAATACAATTAGTGAAAACATTGTGAACAAATTTACAAGTCTATGGGAATTTGTGTTTTCTCTCTTATGCTCATGGTGACACAGCCAGATGTAAACTTTATCAGGAACTGTTGTTTGTACTAGTGTTGTCAAAAAAATCGATACCTAGATATAAATCGATGCTAAAAGTGGTATCTAAATTAGATATTCCATCCCTGTGGTATCGATATTATGGACTATTATACACAGCCTTCTTCAAGTACACCGACACGCACGACAGCCAGATGCGGTAAAGCAGCCTCCGCCTCCCAGACTGAAGTGGAATAAAGGCTTCTAAAATGATGACGGACGACAGCGTATTTATCTTGAACATTTAATGCTCATTTCAGAACTTGAGCAACATCCAAACCTTTCAACGTCTCTTTTTTCTCTCGTCAAGTACAACACAATCAGCGAAGAAGAGTGCATTTCCTGAAGGTTCCCTTCAAAATAAAATACTTGCACAAAAACATTTTCAGTGCTAACAACAGGACTGTATGTCTTTAGTAACTAAATACTTAAATGACAAATAAGTCACAACACACTCCCGCCCGATGAACAGATGTTCATCAACAGTTAGCCATCCTTAACATACCTCTAAGGGATATAGTAACTGTACAGGTCTTCTCAAAATGGTACCTGTAGAACTGCAAACCTTACAGGAACGAATCAGTCCATCTCTGCCTGGAAAAACCTCTGTTATTCTACCCATTTTCCAGGTCTGTCTGGGTGTGTTGTCCTCTCCTATTAGAACAACATCTCCCACCTTTACTGTAGTGGGTGTTGTGGTCTCAGATGTGTGGGCTGATCTTAAGTCCATCAAATAGTCTCTGCGCCAGCGCTTCCAAAAGCCGTTCAAAAGTCTCTGGCGGTATTCCCATCGTCGTCCCAGCTCGTCTTTGTTGACAATGGGGGTGTGAGGCTGGGAAGACAGATTCTTTGGTGGTAGAGAAGTTAGTCGGTTTCCAACCAGGAAATGAGAAGGGGTTAGTGGCTGAGGTTCTAGAACATCATTATATACATAAGACAATGGTCTAGAGTTCAACACTGCTTCAACCTCTGTCAGCACAGTTGTTAGTTCCTCAAAGTTCAATGAGGCCCTCCCCAGCACTCTTTTCAAACATGTTTTTACAGATCTCACAAGCCTCTCCCAGAAGCCCCCCCACCAAGCTGCCCGCTCAGCAATGAACTTCCAGGTGATTCCTTTCTCAGTAAAGAACTTAGTGAGTTCTGAGCCTTTAATCACCTGCCACATCTCCTTCAAGTCCTTATCTGCCCTTTTAAATGTTTTAGCATTGTCAGAATACATGATCCTACATAGCCCTCTTCTAGCAATAAATCTTTTTAGGGCTAACAGGAAGTTTTCAGTGGTCTGATCTGATACCAACTCCAAGTGTACTGCCCTTGTTACAGCACAAGTGAACAATACAATGTAAGCCTTTGTCGGTTGACTCTTAGTTTTAACATACAAGGGTCCCGCAAAATCCACCCCAGTAACTTCAAATGCAGCTGATTCTGTTACTCTATCCTGAGGTAAAGGAGCAGTAATCTGCTGCGCCGCTTTAACCTTTAGCTTCCTGCAAATAAAACATCCAGAAACAATGCGTTTAGCGAACTGTCTCCCTCTCAAGATCCAGTATTGCTCCCTCACTTGGATTAAAGTATCTCTAACCCCAGAATGCATCACCCTTTCATGACAAGAATGAACCAATAGCTCAGAGTATTTATGACTGCTTGGTAGCACCCAGGGGTGCTGCTCTCTGAAGCTAAGATCAGAGTTCTGAAGTCTCCCTCCAACACATATCAGTCCCTCTTCATCCAAAAATGGTTTCAAATCCTTAATCTTAGAGTCTCTCTTCACATTCTGTTTCAGCTGTAACTGTAGGATTTCTGAGCTAAAGCTACTCTCCTGTGTCTGCTTCACCCAGTACCTTTCGGCAGCCCTGATCTCGTCCGCGGTCAACTCTCCTTTCAGTTTCTGACTGGATCGTGTGTTTATCACAAATCTTTTAACCCATGCAGTTACTCTTAACACTGTCCTAAGTCGACTGTATTTTTCAATGTCAAACAGTGGTTCAACCTGCTCAGCATGTGTCAGTTGTACTACAACCTGGTGCTTAGTTTTAAGTTCACAGTTCACCTCAGATGACACGTAGCTCTCATCCACCTGTTCTCTTTCATCGGCTGCTGGCAATGATTTAGGTCCACTCCACCACAGCTGACTGTCAATGAGGCTCTGGACATGCTGGCCTCTTGTCGGTAGGTCTGCGGGGTTGGTTTTGCCCATACAATGGGACCACAGCTCTGGATTTGTGAGCTCTTGTATCTCGGTCACTGTTGGCCACG